AAAATAGCTGGACGTGGTAGCGTGTGCCTGTAGTCCCAGCCCATGGGGAGGCTGAGGCAGGAGAATCACTTGAACCTGGGAGGCAGAGGTTGCAGTGAGCCGAGATCATGCCACTGCACTCCAGCCTGAGTGACAGAGTGAGACTTCATCTAACAACAACAACAACAACAACAAAGAGTTGTGTTGTGGGGTCAGTGTGGTGTAGGTAACAAGGCTGGGGAGACGGACGGTGTTAGATCACAGGAGGCTTTATAAGCTACCCTGAAAATTTCAGACTCACTGAAGCATGTTAATTAGGGGAGCTACATGGTCAGTTCTGCAGTTCAGGGAAATGACTCTGGTGGCACAGTGGATGATGGATTGGAGGTGGTGATGCTAGAGTCAGAGAATTAGTTTACAAAGTATTTTTATCAAATTCCATTGTCCTCTTTGGGCACACCACAGAGTTATGACTACACATGGCTGCCATCCTCAGTCAGGGGAGATATTTCAGATGCCTGTCATTTCCAATTGGTTCATCTTAATAAAATTAAGAAACACTGAAAGAAACAAATTTCTAAATGCTTCATATACATGTTTTCTTTCCCATTGACCCTGCATTCCTTGAAACAAGAGTGTCTTTTACTCATCTCTGTACATCCAACATCTAGTGCAGAGTAGATCTTCAGTATATGTTAGTTGAATGACGGCAAGAATGAATAAATATTCAGTTGCAAGTATGTTTGGCAGAAACATATTTTACCTTACCATTGGGTCATAGTCTTTCAGGAAACTCCAGTTCTGAACCCTGGAAAGGAAAAACATGTTGGCTGTGTGAGTGCCTTCTGGGGCATTTTTAAAAATGACTTTCACTGTGTCAAGTCAATGCAACAATGTATCACATGGAAGAACTAAATAATTTTTTTTTTTTCTTGCGAGGAAGTCTTGCTCTGTTGCCCAGGCTGGAATGCAGTGGCACAATTGTGGCTCATTGCAACCTCCACCTCCCCAATTCTCCTGTCTCAGCCTCCCGAGTAGCTGGGACTACAGGTACATGCCACCATGCCCAGCTAATTTTTGTACTGTTAGTAGAGATGGGGTTTTACCATATTGGTCATGCTGGTCTCGGGCTCCTGACCTCAGGTGATCCACCCACCTTGGCCTCCAAAAGTGCTGGGATTACAAGCATGAGCCCCTGCACCCACCCAGAACTAAAGAATTTTTAAGTGAAACAAATGCCAAGTGTCAAGCAGGTATTTATGGTGTATCCTACGAAAGGAACAAACATTTCAATTTCCAATGACTTTTCCTACAATGACAGTTATGGTGTTGCTATGGTGGGCTGCCGAAGGAGAGCAAAGGCTACGCCCTCTCCCTGCATCTGTGCATTTTCAGAAGGCTTCAGTAAGCAAGCATTCTCTGAAGAAAAAACAGTTTTCATGCTGCCAAACCTTTGTAACCTTCCAGTGTGAGTGACAGAGGAAGGTTAGGGAGGGGTAGAAAAAGGGAGGGAGGATGACTGTAAGAATTGTATGACCTTGCACTGGTCATTTAATTTTATTTGAATCTATTTTTAAAAAGTCAAACAATTCTACAAAACATAATAAAAATAGCCTTCTCTGCCCCCATCCTCACAGTCTCTGAGCCCCACATCCTAGAGTCAAACCATTTCCAGTCTTTTAGCTGTTTTGTCAGGCCTTTTGCTTTCATCTTTTGAAATAATATGATTCTTGCTTTGCTATAAAGAATGCCTGAGACTGGGTAATTTATAAAGGAGGTTTAATTGGCGCACGGTTCCACAGGCTGTACAGGAAGCATGATGCTGGCATCTACTTAGCTTCTGGGGAGGTCTCAGAAAGCTTACAATCATAGTGGAAGGCAAAGTGGCAGCAGGCAGGTCACATGGCCAGAGCAAGATCAAGAGAGAGAGAAGGGAGGTGCCACACACTTTAAAAGAACCAAATCTGCTAAGAACTTCTTACTACTCTGAGGATGTACCATGGGGATGGTATAAACCATTAAAGAGAAACTGCCCCCAGGATCCAATCCCCTTACATCAGGCACCACCTCCAACACTGGGGATTACAATTCAACTTGAGATTTGGGTGGAGACACAGATCCAAACTATATCAACTGCTGTTTCTTAATATTAAAAAAAATTTTTTGAGACCAAGTCTCACTCCGTTGCCTAGGATGGAGTGCATTGGCACAATCTCAGTTCACTGCAACCTCTGCCTCCTGAGTAGCTGGGACTACAGGCACGTGCCACCACACCTAGCTAATTTTTGTATTTTTAGTAGAGACAGGGTTTCACCATGTTGGCCAGGTTGGTCTTGATCTCTTGACCTTGTCATCCACCCACCTCGCCTCCCAAAGTGCTGGGATTACAGGCGTGAGCTACCATGCCTGGCCATATTTTTTAAAATTTAAACTTATGTATCAACTTTCTATTATGAGAGATGAAGAGTTAGCATTCTTCTCCCTGGCCTTCCCCTAATTCTTTTAGCATAATTATAGATCTTGGTTAAGTTGATAAATATAACATTGTTTAGATTTTTATGATTATGTAAATGTTATTCACTGATGAGCTAAGGAGTACAATACATCTGAATTCTTTTCTTGTACAGCCTTGTATTCTTTCTAGAGCTAAGAATTACATTTCCTCCTAATTTTTTTAGGTTTTTTTTTTTTTTTTTAGATGGAGCCTCACTCTGTCACCCAGGCTGGAGTGCAATGGTGTAATCTCAGCCCAGTGTAATCTCCACCCCCCGGGTCCCAGTTCAAGAGATTCTCCTGCCTCAGCCTCCCAAGTAGGTGGAATTACAGGCATGCACCACCATGCCCAGCTAATATTTGTATTTTTAGTAGAGACAGGGTTACACCATGTTGGCCAGGCTGGTCTTGAACTCCTGATCTTGTGATCTGCCCACCTTGGCCTATCAAAGTACTGGGATTACAGGTGTGAGCCACCACGCCTGGCCTTTTTTAAGGCTTCTATGTACTGATCATTGATTCCAGATGCTCCAACAAAACTGAAAAGTCCCTCTCAATATTATTTTCTACACAGTCATGTGCATCTGATAATAAACGTTCCTTTAAAACCTTTTTTAGACACCTTCTTGGAAGCCCTATGTCCTCTTGCTGCCACTGGCTTGGCCATGCCCCAAGATCACAGGCTGGTCCCTTCACCAACAAGGTGGCACTCCTCTCTTTCAGAATTCCATGTCTCCCTTTCTTGTTAATGCACCTGTTTTGGGGGAGCACAGAATCCAGCATCTGTGGACTCATGCATTTCTTTGGTTCTGGAAAATTCTCACTCACCTTCTCTCCTTTGGGAATTTTGTTTAAAGACAGATTGAACGAGCCAGGAGCGGTGACTCACGCCTGTAATCCCAGCACTTTGGGAGGCCAAGGCGGNCCATGTCTCCCTTTCTTGTTAATGCACCTGTTTTGGGGGAGCACAGAATCCAGCATCTGTGGACTCATGCATTTCTTTGGTTCTGGAAAATTCTCTCTCCCATTCTCTCCTTTGGGAATTTTGTTTAAAGACAGATTGAACGAGCCAGGAGCGGTGACTCACGCCTGTAATCCCAGCACTTTGGGAGGCCAAGGCGGGCAGATCACAAGGTCAAGAGATCAAGACCATCCTAGCCAGCATGGTGAGACCCCATCTCTACTAAAAATACAAAAATTAGCTGGGCATGGTGGCATGCACCTGTAGTCCTAGCTACTCAGGAGGCTGAGGCAGGAGAATTGCTTAAACCCAGGAGGCAGAGGTTGCAGTGAGCCAAGATCATGCCACTGCACTCCTGCCTGGCAACAGAGCAAGACTCTGTCTAAAAAAAAAAAGGTTGGACCTTCTTGTTCAGTTTTTTTAGGTTTTTAATTCTTCTTTTGTGTTTTCTGTCTTGATTTTCTGAATAATTTGTCCTGTTTTGAGTTTATGAAATCTCACTTCAGTTGTGTCTTATATTTCAACTTTATATATTTTTATTCCTATAAGGTTTTTTTGCTTTTTGTTTTGAGATGGAGTCTTGCTCTGTTGCCCAGGCTGGAGTGAAGTGGCACAATCTAGCTGATTACAACCTCTGCCTCCTGGTTTCAAGCAATTATCCCTGCCCCAGCCTCCAGACTGGCTGGGATTACAGGTGTCTGCCACCACACTTGGCTAATTTTTGTATTTTTAGTAGAGAGAGGGTTTCACCATCTTGGCCAGGCTGGTCTTGAACTCTTGACCTCAGGTGATCTGCCCACCTCTGCCTCCCAAAGTGCTGGGATTATAGGTGTGAGTCATTGTGCCTGGCCTCTTGTTTCATTTTTTTAAGGAGGTTACTAGAAAATTTAAGCTATGTGTATGGCTCACATGGTATTTCTGTGGGGTAGCACTGCCTTATGCATCCCTCTTAGGGCTTTCCAGGCCCTGCAAAACTCTTTCCTCTTGGTTTTTATGCCTCCCTGTGCCCCTGGCTTTCTCCTCTGGTGGTTCCTGGCAGCTTCTCTGCTCTTCCAGTAAATGTTGCAAGTTCTATCCTGTGTCCTCGCCTCTTCTGATCCATCGCGCTCTAGGGAAAGCTTATTCACATCTCTGGGGCCAGTGCCCACCTATTTCCTTCTAAAATTGAGATATAATTTACATTCCATAAGATTCACCTTTTAAAGCACACAACTCAGTGACTTTTAGTATATTCATGGAGTTGCACGGTCGTTACCACTTTCTGATTCCAGGACATTTCATCACCCCAAATCACCTGTGTTCATTCATAGTCCACACTCTCCCCTTCTATATGGGTTTTTAATGTGCAACTCGTGACTCTCACACTCAGCTACCTCCTGGAAGCTCCATCTAGACACGGTTCACGCACTTAAAACTCACCAGAGGTCAGCGTCTTCATCATTTTTCTCCTCTCTATTAATTATTCAAGCTGAGATCTGTCATCCTTTACTCCTTCCTCACCTTTCCTCCCACACCTACTCAGTTTGTAAATATTTTCTGCCATTCTGTAGGTTGCCTTTTCACTCTGTTAATTGTTGCCTTTGCTGTGCAGAAGCTTTTCACATGCAAAAGAATGAAATTGTATCCTTTCTTACATAATACATACCAATACACTCAAAAACACAGGAGGAAGCTTCATGCCATTGATCTTGGCAGTTATTCCATGGAAATGCCACATGAAGCACAGGCAACAAAAGCAAATATGGACAGATGGAGTTACATCAAACTAAACAGCTTCTGAAGAGCAAGGGAAACAAGCAACATAGTGAAAAGCAACACACAGAATGGGAGACAGTATTTACAGACCATGTTTCTGATAAGGGGTTAATTTCCAACATATATAAGGAACTTCCACAAGTTAGTAGCACAAAACCAAATAACCCAATTGAAAAAAATGGGTTAAGGACTTGAGTAGATGTTTATCCAAAGAAGATAAATAAATGGCCAATAAATATATGAAAAGATGATCAACATCACTCATCATCAGTGAAATGCAAATCAGAGCCACAATGAAATAGTTGCTCATACCTGTAGTCCCAGCACTTTGGGAGGCTGAGGCATGTGGATCACCTGAGATCACGAGTTCAAGACCAACCTGGCCAATATGGTGAAACCCTCTCTCTACTAAAAATACAAAAATTAGCCAGGCATGGTGGAGGGCACCTGTAATCCCAGCTACTCAGGAGGCTGAGGCACGAGAATCACTGGAACCCGGGAGGCAGAGGTTGCAGCGAGCGAGGATTATGCCATTGCACTCCTTCCTGTGTGACAGAGTGAGATTTCATCTCAAAACAAAACAAAAAGCCGCAATAAGAGAGCACCTCACTCCTATTAGGATGTCTGTTATCAAAAAACAAAAGACAATCAATGAGCGTTGGCCAGTGTGTGGAGAACCGGACCGCTGGGATGCTGCTGATGGGCATGCAGAGTGGCGCGGCTGCTGTGAAAAGACAACAGAGGTTCCTCAGCAAATTGCAAGTAGAGGCACCATGTAATCCTGCAGTCCACTGGTATGGTTTGAATGTTGGTTCTCCCCAAATGTCATATTGAAATGTGATCCCTAATGTTGAAGGTAGGGCCTAGTGGGAGGTATCTGGGTTGTGGGGGCAGATCCATCATGAACGGCTTGGTGCCCTCCTTGTGGAAATGAGTGAGCTCTTGTTCTATTAGTTCACGGGAGAGAACTGGTTGTTAAAAACAGCCTGACCCCTCCCCTCTCTCTCAGTCCCTTTCTTACCATGAGACTTGCCCGCTTCTCCTTCACCTCTGTCATTAGTGTAAGCTTCCTGAGGCCCTCACCAGGAGCCAAGCGTATTCCAGCATGATGCTTGTACAGCCTGCAGAACTGTGAGCCGAATAAGCCTCTTTACAAATTACCCAACCTCAGGGGGTCCTTGACAGCAATGCAGAATGAACTAAGATATCCACTTTTGAAAATTTACCCAAAAGAAGTGAAATCACTCCCATGTCCACTGCAGCACTATTTATAATAGTCAAATGTGGAAACAGACTAAAAGTCCATTGACAAATGAATAAGGAAACTGCACATATTAAAACGGGAGGAAAGTCTGTAATATGCTGCAACATGGACGAACCTGGAGGGCAGAATGCTAAGCAACAAGACAGACATGGAAAGACAATACCGCACAATTCCACTTATATGAGGAAAACAGACTCCTGGAAGCAAAGAATAGAATGGTGCCACAGGGTTGGGGGACGGAGAATGGGGAGTTGCTAATCAGCGGGTGTGAAGTTTCAGTTGTGCAAGATGAATGTATTCTAGAATCTATCAGGCTGGTCATTAAAAAATGTAAATGATCATGCCATGCTCTTGCTTAAAATCCTGTATGGTATCTCCTTTGGAAAAAACACATCCAGACTTTTACAAGGGCTGGGGGTGGCTCCCCCCATGCTCCCCCTCATCCTGTCGCCTCCCTCCCTCCCTGTGCTACACTAATTCTGTTCTGTTTTTGTTAGATACACCAAACTCTTGGCTACTTCTCGTATTTTAGGCCTCAGCTTAAACATCTCCTTCTCAGAGAGGCCATCAGCAGGCTCCCTCCTCTTACCCTGAACTGTTTACTTCTTCTTCTTCTTTTTGTTTTTTGGAGACAGTCTCACTCTGTCACCCAGGCTGGAGTGCAATGGCGCGATCTTGGCTCACTGCAACCTCTGCAGGGTTCAAGCCATTCTCCTGCCTCAGCCTCCCGGGTAGCTGGGACCACAGGCACAGGCCATGAGGCCAGGCTAATTTTTGTATTTTGAGTAGAGATGGAATTTCACCATGTAAGCAAGGATGGTCTCAATCTCTTCACCTCTTGACCTGCCCTCCTCGGCCTCCCAAAGTGCTGGGATTACAGGCATGAGCTACCTCGCCAGGCCAACTGTTTCCTTCTTACTGCTGCCCACCCTAAATACAGATCTGTACTTGTTTGCTTCTCTGCTTGCTTTTGGCTGCCCCGTCCTGAGAATGAAGACTCCATGGAGCCACAGCCAGGTCTGTCTCGTCCCCTGTTGCAGTCTGGTCTCGTTTCAGAGCAGCGCATGGGCATTTTTCCTTGAATGAATGCATGAAGGAGCATCCTTCCCTGGAGTCAGGTCAGATGGCCAGCGCCTCTCATCCAGATTAGACCAGCAGGATCCAGATCCAGGGATTCCGGGCCTCCCCGCAGTCGGAATGAACCAGGTGGGGCTGCCCTGACCCAGCGGCACCCGCCCCTGGCCTCCATCTTTCCGGCTTCCTAGGCTCAGGCTCGGATCTGGCCGGGGGCTGGGCTGGTGCCCCACCTCCCCCCGAGGCATGCCACGCTCTCTGTCCCTTAGCCCGGATCATTTCCTCACCCATCCCCTCTTCTCCAAAAGCTTCCCCAACTTGCCGTCAGGCTGCGGGGTCAGGGTGGAGAAGGGAGGGCAGGGACTCACCAGCGCTGCTGGCCCCTCCGCTCTGCTTCCAGGAGCTCCCGCCACAGCTGGTCCTGCTGCACTCCACCGCAGGCAGCTCCCCGGGCCACCCGCTGCGCCTTTGGAGCCTGAGGGGCCTGGCAGCCACCAGCAAGACCCCTGCCGGCCATAGGGCCACCCTGGGCAGCTGGGGAGACTGAGGCTGGCAGCCTGGTGGGGGGCAATCGGTACCCAGCTGATGTGGTTCTCTGGAGCCCAGGGATGGGGTGGCTTCCCATGGGTGCAAGTGTGTGTGTGTGAGAGAAAGAGAGAGTGGCAGAGAGACAGAGAGAGAGGGAGAGAGACAGAGAGAAAGACAGAGAGAGAGGGAGAGAGACAGAGAGAAAGACAGAGAGAGGTGTGTGCTTGTGCCCAAGCTCAGCCAAACCTCCTCCTGGAACACCCCCTCCCTCCTAACGCCGGGACAGCCTGGGCAGGGTCCTCCTCACTGTCCCTTTAGGCCAGTGGCTGACGGGGACAGGGCCCTCCTGGCTGGGGAGAGCATTTGAGCTCAGCTGCGTTTTGAACTCCAGCCTGTGTTGACTGTTGACTGTTGTCCTAGGAACCGTCAGCTCCCAGGAAGGGGCGGGCCGTGTGTGTGCGCGCGTGTGTGTGCGCGCGCGTGTGTGTGTGTGTGTGTGTGTGTGACCTGAGCCCTGGGGCTGGGGTGCAGAGCGCTCCTCAGTAGGTGCCACGCCCAGTTCAGCAGCCAGAGTCCTCCGCACAGGGCAGGGGATGGGGAAGGAGCCAAGCCGGGCTCCAGGGACCACCCTCCCTCATTCGGGCACTTGGCCTCAGCAGCGCTCAGGCCGCGGGGCGATGACAGGCCTGGGCTGCCCCCTCGTGGAAGCTGCGAGGCTTGCACGAGACGGTGGCGCTCAGGGCGCTGTGGGAACGGTGGCTCAGGCATCGGTGTGAAGTTTCCCGCTTGTTAGGGAGCGATGGCGGAGGTCGGGAGCTCCTGTCCGGCGAGGGAAAACGGTGCAATGCACTGGGAACATCCCCTCTGTCTGGAAAGCCGGAGCGTTCACACAGCGCTCGGCTTTATCTGGCTGCGACCTCCCGGCCATGCCTTTCCAACCCCATTCTACAGACGAGGAAACTGAGGCCGTCCCTGGCAAGATTAAGTGACCGCCCGCGGTCACACAGTCACCGCCTGAAGGGAATAGTGAGAACCTGAGGACGGCGGTTCGTGGTCTGAGCCCTCTGCCCGGCTTCTGCTCCCACTGGGTGCAGCCAGGCTGTCTCCGTGGCAGCCTCTCCGGGTCCCGCTCAGCTGAGCTCCAGGGGCGCCCGCGGCTCTCATCACTTCTGCTCCTGCACGCGCTGCTTCTGTTCATGCTGTTCCCGGTGGTGCTGGCGGATTCACAGTTCCTTCCAGGCAGATTCTCTGTGGGCCCATTCAGCTGGTGCGCTGCCTCCTGTGTGAGTATGGGAAGAGCTAAGCGCAGGGAAAGGCCGGCTGAACAGAGGCCCGCGCAGATGCCCTGGGGCCGCGCAGCAGGGCAGCCCTGAACGCCGAGCCCACACTCTGTGTGGCCGGTCCTGTGCGCCCTGCTGGATTCTGCTTCTATGAGGGAGGCAGCAAGGAGTTGGGACTTCACAGGAGAAAGGATTTGCCAGGTAGAAAAATTGGGGTGACAGCAAAAGCTTGGATGTGTTAAAACGCGTGCTCTGAATGAAGAGACCCCCCCCCCAAAAGGCTTTGTGTGAGCAACTTGGCTGTTTATTCACCCGGGTGCGAGTAGGCTGAGTCTGGAAAGTCAGCGGAGAGCGAGGGGATAGGAGCTGGTTTTATAGGTTTGGGGTGGGCAGTAGAAAGTTACAGAAGTTACACTTTAGGGCGGTTTTTTGCAAGCTGGGAGGGGGTCCTAAGGTGTAGAGTCACGAGGTTGACCAAGGTCGGCTATGAGGTCCAATGGCTTTGTCAGCTGGGGCGGAAATAAGGAACAATAGAGAATGTCAGAGTTAAGGAGGTGCAGGGGCTGACCATTTATTCCTCTTTTCCTGGTCTTCCAGTTACTTCAGATTTTCCAGGAACTCATCTGGAGTGTCCCTGCAGGTCACAGAGGTTACCATGGTATCCACGGCGCGCCTGTCGGGATGCCACAGACGGCCTCGTATTTTGGGAGATGTGGGGGTAGGAGACAAGAACTGGGGTGGCAGGGCACATGGGGGCAGACCCGGGGTGTTTTTGACTGTATCCTGCACCCAGTGGGGAGATACTGAGGGCTGTGAGCCCCAAGGCAGCTGCAGGGAACAGAACCACCAGGAAAGGGGCAAGAAACAGGTGAGGTCACTATTGCCATGGTCTGGGTAAGCAATGGCAATGAAGCCCCTACTGGGCATGGGTGGAGGGCTGGCATGAGAAGACAGGGTTGAAGCCAGGCCAGAAAGAGCTGCCAGCCTCGTCTTTCCACACTTGCATGAGGGAGGAGCTGAGGGGTGTGACCTTTTGGGAAAACAGTCTAAAATCAGAGCTGCAGACCTGGGACTCTGTCTCCTCTCTGTCCTCCCCTTCGAGCGGGGATGATACAGACTGGGATCTAGTGACTTAAATTTTCCTGGTAAAGAGGAGCTTGGCAGGAGCGTGGCAGGAGCGTGGCGGGGGTGTGGCTGGGGTGCGGCGGGGGTGCGGCGCTGTGTGCTGGGGCTTTGGGCCAGGCTTTTCTGACTGCTGATCTCTCAGAAATGTCTGTGTTCCCTGCACGGCGAAGACAGGTTCCTGCCACACCCAAGGAGTAGCAGTTCCGACTTCCCTGAACCCCCAGAAGGCATCCTTTGAGTGTCTTTAGAGAGCACAGGGTGCGGATGTCCTGGGAGGTCCTTGCTGTGTGTCCTGGGAGGCCTTGTCAAGCTGATCACAGGCTGTGGCCCTGGGCAGCTGGGAACAGCCATGCAGTTTGCTCAGATACCTCCAGCCCTGGCCACAGGCTCCAGAAACAGGGACCAGGACAAAAAAGGCAGCGAGGGCATCTGTGAAAAACCATCATGACTGATCGAGTTCCTGATGTATGTAGAGGCTGAATATTTCCACTGAGGTTATTTTTATTTTTATTTTTTGAGACAGTCTCACTCTGTTCCCTGGGCTGCAGTGCAGTGATGTGATCTTGGCTCACTGCAACCTCTGCCTCACAGATTCAAGCGATTCTGCCTCAGCTTCCTGAGTAGCTGGGAATACAGGAATGCACTGCCACACCCAGCTAACTTGTTTTGTATTTTTAGTAGAGATGGGGTTTCCCCGTGTTGGCCAGCCACCATACCCAGCTGGAAGTTGGTTTTAAAAAATTAAAAGGTAGCCAGGTGCGGTGGCTCACACCTGTAATCTCAGCACTTTGAGAGCCTGAAGCGGGAAGATAACAAGGTCAGAAGTTCGATACCAGCCTGGCCAATATGGTGAAACCCCGTCTCTACTAAAAATACAAAAATAGCTGGGCATGGTGGCAGGCGCCTGTAGTCCCAGCTGCTCGGGAGGTTGAGGCAGGAGAATTGCTTGAATCCAGGAGGCAGAGGTTGCAGTAAGCCGAGATCGAGCCACTGCACTCCAGCCTGGGAAATACAGCGAGACTCCGTCTCAAAAAATAAATTAATTTATTTAATTAAATTAAAAGGTACCTTAAAACCATTTGAGACCAAGAGCTGATAGCAGGCTGAACTGATGTGTGACAAAGCAAATGCAACACAACGTAACTGTAGAATCTAGGTGGTGGGCATATGGGTGTCTCCCCAACCATTCCGTCAACTTTCCTGTGCCCGAAAAATTTTAAAATAAAACGTTGAGAAAAAAAAAAAGTCACCTGCCAGTCCAGGTCAGTCACTGCCAGTCTCTTTTCACATGTCCTTGTGCCTGGAAAAACATCCAAATTCACTCGGGGTGTGCCTCACTGCGCCCCAGCCTGGGAGGACCAACCCCCTCGCCCCTCCCGCCAGCTCTAAGGCCGGCCTCACCTGAGGATCAGGACACTGGGTTCCAGTCCCTGCTCTGCCAGTGACTTGCTCTGCACCCTTGAGTTTGTGGCTTATCTTTATGTGAGACTTTCCAGGGGAACACAAGAATCCCTGCATATGGGAGGTTGCTGGAGTCGTCTTTTAATGGGTTTTCCTCAACCCTAAAAGGCGTAGCAAGTTTAGGGCCTTCAGCTGGGCGAGGCAGAACGTTCCAACCCACCAGCCCGGGAGCGAGCACACCTGCGATTCACAGGGCGCGGGAAGACTCCGCCCTGCGAGCCAGCCCCGCCCACTTCCTGTAGGCCCCGCCCCTCCCCGGGTCGGAGGATGAGAGAGGGTCCCGAGCCCCGCCCCTCTCCACGGGGGCCGGGCCCAGGAGCCCCAGAGCTTGCGAGCCCGCGGGAGGGAGCTGAAGGGGCGGGTCCGTGGGAGGCGAGGGTAGGGGAAACGTGTGTCTGCATTTTTAAATTTTCAGGGCATGTGTTCCATCTCCTTCCTTCCCTAAGCCTCTGCTTCTTGGATGAAAACGTTGGCTTTACCACCCGTTCCCTCCTTCCCGCCCGCACACACCTTGAAGGCATCATACCAGGCGGTGGCCGTCAGAGGAAGCATCGGGGCCACAGTTCTGGCCTTGTCAGCTGCTCCCACCGCGTCCCCAGAAAGCTCCCAGTTCATCAGAGTAGCAACATTAAAGGAAGGCCCAGTTGATCTCTGGAAAAATCCACCCCGGCCTTCACCTCATAGCCCCAACCGTTTTCACTTCTCAGTAGCCGCTTTGGGTCTTACTGCTGGTTGTACAGGTGCTGTCAGTGTGCCCACCATTTTGTACTCAGCTAAAATTTTTATTTATTGGCAGATTCTTGCTCTATCACCCAAGCTGGAGTGCAGTGGGGCGATCTCGGTTCACTTACCTCCGTCTCCCGGGTTCAAACAATTCTCCTGTCTCAGCCTCCTGGTAGCTGGGATTACAGGCACCTGCCACCGC